AGGGGATGGGTCAAAATACCATATGAATGGGGAAAGAATCATCCATTAACCAGCTATTTTAGGGTACCTATAGTGATAATTTCTCTATTCTTTGCGCCAAGTTATACAGGCGATATCATATACAGCCCGTATCAATCCTACTTGGCTCATACTTTTTGAGTAATTTGGCACCAGGAAGCCGAAGTTTGACCCTCTGGAGGTGTAGCTGATCCTGGCCTGACATGGGATGCAGTCCCTTCGCTGGACTCTGCATTTGAATCAAGAATACCTAGAACATACCCTCTGGTAAACTAACATAGCCATAGCTATTCAAAATGGCCATTTATAGTTAGTTTTCCCATTAAAAATGGTGATTTTCCATAGTTATGTTAGTTTACCAGAGGGCATTTTTTTTTCAAAAACAAATAGAGATGGACTCATTCTGGTTCCAATGATCATGTTGGATATCAACGTTGACACCCCTTCTCTTGGCGTCAAAAAGATGTTCTCTTCGAAAATTCTCCGGAGGATCATCCCGGCACCGAGTCGTCTTGGAGTAGAATATGGACATTTCAAATGTTTAAAACATCACCAAAATGGGAATAACTTAAAATAATTTCCATATTCTATCTACTCCAGGATGAACACACATATATATATAATATAATATAATATAATATAATATACACTGTATATTTATATGTATATATCTATACAGATGTGCAATTTTCAAGCAGGCGGTCCTGGTCCTGCCAGGCACCGGCTCCTGCGGCTCAGCAGGTGTGGTCAGCTAATGTGGGAGTTTCCCAATGCCTCCCATTTTCCCATTTGGGGATGGTTGGAATCCCACCCATAAAAATGGTGATTTTGACAGGATGGTTGAAATGGCATTGGGTTTAAAAATGGGCGCGGACGGACCTTTGGTGGCTAAATTTTTTAGTGAGAGGTTTGACATGGCTTCCACCCGGCTAAAAAAAAGCTACCCCCACATATAGAAGTCAAATATCGTCAAATGACAACCTGGTGGTTCCAAATCTCTGATATATTCTATCCTAGCTGGGCATATGTGTGGAATGGCTTGAAACCAGCAGCAAAATCTTCTTGAGATGCAGAATTTTGGGCTGCCCTAGTCATGATCAGCCAGCTAAAGTGCAGGCCTTTGCGCAGCTTTCGGCCAATCTAACAGAGGCAGTGGCTCAGTGGGGAAAGGCTGCTGGTGGTGGATGGTGAAAAATCGGCCCAAGATCACCAAGGACGGCCCTATAGGACGGCCAACACTAGAGGGAATCAAAATATCGAGCCAAACACCAACCAGACTGCATGGATTCCAAGTTTCGTTGATTCATCATGTAATCCCCCGATTCAGAACAGCCCTGCAGCTATTCCCAGATTTAGCTCCTTGGAGGTGGTAGATTGTCAGATTTCAGTGGGGTGGTTTGCCTGGGAGGCACCCAACGATGCTGTGATCGAGGTCGGCGTCGTTGAGAGTCGTGGTGTCAGTTGGTGTTCAAAAGCTGGAGGTTTTTAGGAATTTTGGTGAAAATCCGGACAGTACCCGTTTTTTTGTCACATGTTGTAGCTGTATTCGAACTCAACCAACATCTGCAACACCTGTGTGTTTGATCTATTCGTTGAATGTACTTTAGATTTGTTTGGAGTGAGGGCATGCTCATTTTGTTTTGAGTTTTGGTTCTCATGTTCGGTGGTTGAATGACATTGAATCCACGCTTCCTTGTTTTGAAACCAGACTTGGTCCATGGGTGATATCCGAGCTCCATGGTTGGCAAGGTATACTGGGGTTCCATTGTTGGTGATACGTGCTCTTGTTGTCTCACCCGCATATTTATTGAATTTATTGACCCACATGTTCGAATAATTTTAGTCAGTAGACGGTTGGTTGTTACCCTCTGGTAATTCAACATAACTATGGAAAACCACCATTTTTAATGGTAAAACTCACTATGAGATGATTATGGGATTTTACCTATTGATTTACCTATTGAGAATAGGGATTTTATGGGATTTTCCAGTAACCTGCAGGAGTTGGCTGAGTTGACAGAGGACGGGCGGCTTGGGCTGCCCGGTAAAGCCCTATAGCCTCGGGTATTTTAACATAGCTGTGGAAATCCGAATCTTGACTAGGTCATTCATCTATGCATGGGCAATTTTCTATGTTAGTTTACCAGAAGAAGAACCCCGGTACTGGGAACATGGCGTAGATGTGCTACAAGCAAGGAGGAATGGGGGAATTTAACCATATTTAACCCATACCCAGATTTTTTCATCTGGTATGTGAGGTGTTGGAAGCAAATGAAGCAACAACCTTGATGTTGGAACTTGGAACCTTTAAACATCTTCAGCACCTAAAAACTTTCCCCAAACAGCTCCCAGCCAATGCTGTTTGCGACCAGGAAACTCCACGCAGGCCGGTCTGCTGCTGTCGGTGGAAATCGATGCGCCACATTCCGGAAAAAATCCTAAAACAACCTGTTTTGGACAAGCAATACCAAAGAACCTTGGAAGTTGTCATATTTACACTCATAAACTATATATATATCATAAACATTCGTTAGATAAGTGGTAACCATTCCCATTACACTATATTATATGGTCTTATCTAATTATTGTCATATAAACGAATGGTACATGGATTACATATATAGAATGTTTCTGAACATGTATATATATAATAAACTATATATATAATAAACTATATATATATATATAATATATATATATATATATATCCACACGAAATATATATATATATCACATCAATCCATGTAATTTTGGATCCCGATACCTGGATTTGAGTCTGTCGACAGTCTGTCGACGCCTGAAACTAGGCATCTGCGTTCCAACCTCATGCAGCGCATGAAGCAGGCATGAAGCATGTGTGAAACGGGCAACAAAAAGGTTAACATGGGATAGATTAAAAAAGACTGCTTCAATGAGTTCAATGGCATTCAATGGGGGTGAAAATTGGGTACTTCAAAAATTGGATGGTTGATACTATTAATACTAAAGATAGACTAAAAATCCGTGATATCCGTGGTTTTGCCAGGTCTTCCATTTTGACCGATATCGCCGATACCCAAATACTTGTGTTTGTCTGGAAATGGAGCATATTGTATGCCGCGAAATATCTCGCAATTTGAGAAAACGAGGTTTTTAGCCATGGGATGAAATGTTTTTTCCCTATAAGTGCCAGAGAAACATAGACAAATCCACTTAGAAATGATCGAACTTCTTCAAACTTTCTGGGTCCCATTTGTTTCCTTTTCCCCGTTGAGATGTGAATCCTGAACCTGTGGGTTTATGGCACGCAGGCAGGACATGAAGTGAAATTAGGTAAACGGTTGTGTAAGATGTGTGGTCGTAAGATACACCCCAGGGCCCCAGTGTTTTTCCCTTTTTTTTCCCCTGTCCTGATGTCCTGTCCTTTGGTTTTTTGCAGAGTTTTAACTGATCTATCGACAGTTCACCGTCAGCATTGAAACAACCAACAGAGTGTTGATGGTCCTCTGGCAGATGATTCCACCACAATGCAGAAGCGGTTTCTGCTTCCAGGGTAGCGGTACCTGAAAGAGCAGAAGATTTCCGCAGTTCATGAATATATCCTTGCCGGTTTGCACATCAAAAGCACGAATCGTTGGATGTTAAAAGTCCTCCATGACGAAGAATAAATTTCACCCCAGCAGTCTCCATTGAAACAGGGGCAACCCGACTCCACAGGTGGAAGGTGCTTTCTGCGACTGCGTCGGGTCGACCCAGAACCAAGTTGCCACAGGTGGTAATGTGGACCAGCAACAAATCCCCTTTGGGTGTGTCCAACACATCGGAATTTCTTCCAGTTCATGATGTTACGAATATATGTTAATGTATGGCCATCAAAATATGGAACATATGATGATTGAAGATGAGATTTTTGGGCACCATTTTTTTTCTGTGACAAGCCTCAAGCCTTGCATTTGGGGTTGGGGATCATCATGGATCACCCCCCTTGGGGGTTGCGAAGTCACATGAGTCCGACCTGACTTGACCTGAGTCGACTTTTTTTTCGCCAAAGGAAGATTTCCAGGCCTGTTGAAGAGTCCAAGTGGCTTTACCATCTGGTTATGACGTTTACATCGCCGTGGAAAATCCCAACCATAAATGGACGTTTTAATGAAACATCATCTATTTCTATGGGCCATCTATACCATGGCTATGTTAAATAACCAGAGGGTATATTTCTCCATTGCCCAAGTATCCAAGTTCCAAGTTCCGGCAACACGATGGTCATTGAGATATCTGCGAAAAACCGAGCTTAGGACTGAGCCGAAAAACGCGCGAACCGTGAAACCGCGGGCTTCCGTCACGCGTTTAAAACGGCGTATGCTTCGCTGGGCGAAGGATTTGGTGAAATTGGTTAAATCTGGGCTAGCCAAGTTCAAAGTCTATCATTACAGGGTGGTTAAAAGCCCAAAACATGGTTGATCAGAATAATTACCCTCTGGTAATTTAACATAGCTATTGAAAATGCCCATTTATAGTGGATTTTCCCATGAAAAATGGTTATTTTCCATAGTTACGTTAGTTTACCAGAGGGTAGCGTATGAATGTGGGATTCACCCAATGCATCCCAATGCCTTTTTCACCATCCTGTCAAAATCACCGAATTTTTATCGGTGGGATTCCAACCATCCCTAGATTTTAGTTGGTGGCATTGGGTTGCGAAAAAATGACTTGCTATGATCCAAGGAATCCAAGGCACTAAAAAACTGCCTGTTGTGACATGTTGTGCCGATGGTGGCGTAGGCGTCCACAACTTGGGGAACCCTTCCCTCCGAGCATCGGGAAGTGCGCACTCTGAGACCCAACAGATCCTGAAAGCGCCGCTTTTCTTCATCCGAAAGATTTGGCCCGAGGCATGAAATTCAGAACATCAGAATATATCAGAATCTTTCCAGGGAAATCTATAGGGAAACATCATGAAACACACCATTTTTGCCTCTCGTTCTCTTGGATCTCTTGGCCAAGAGGGATGGCGCTGCCGCGCCATTGGGCGCATTGGCTTGTGGCTGGCCTGGCAGCATGGCTGGCCGGTCAACTAGTGGGATGTGACTTTGACGATGGTGCAGAGGCGGGGGCGGCTGATCAGCCGGGCTATAGATGGATATTTGGATAAATCAACAAGACAAAATCGAGATTTAACCATCACACATGGTGACAAATTCTGATAGTAGGGTTTTTACATGGTTTTACCACCCTGTAAACATACAACAAGATGTGGAGCCCTCACCGTTTGTAGGTAATTTTCCGAACCGAAACCATTGGTTTTCCAATCTATGTTAGTTTATATTGGTTTACCCTAGTACTTTACATATATCATATATAAATAAATATATATATATATATACACATGCTAGTATCAATAATATGTCTTCTTAACTATCACAATAGATAGTGGTTGTACATTTTATTGGTCCTTGGGCAATATATATGTATATATATATATACGTACACGTATATCAACTATACGTATAACTTATAACTGTGTATATATACACTTATAACTGTGTATATATATATACACATAGATTTGGGGATGGTATGCACAATATCAACTTGTATCAACCATAAATAGGAGAGTAATGGTTTCAATTAGTTGTAATGTTCCATCCTTAACGGATATGATTATCCGATTATCCCAATCGACAAACAAACTGTTGGACCAATCATGATGATTGAAATACTGATAATCATATGACAATAATTCTCCTGGTTGGTGGTTTGGAACATTTTTTTATATTAGGAATACTAACGCCAACTGACTAATATTTTTTGGAGGGGTTGAACCCACCAACCAGCTGATTATCATATTCCAATCCATCAAAAATCATCAAATTCCTGAAGTTGAAGCCAGTACTGTTCCAGTTATTTGCTGGCCGGTTTGCCCAGACAGAGGAACTCTGAGCATGATTCATATAAAATCAATGAATCTTGAGCTTATCTGCTTAAATTCAATGGATTGGTTTAAGGGAAAATCTACAAGAAACCATGGTTTTTACCATCAAATATAGGGCTTTCCTGTAAATTTTCCCATCATCCAGTTCTATGAATCTTGAGATTATCTGCTCAAATGAAACTATGATGATTCCACTTGCTGTCTGGGATAACCATCAAATATCCTCACATCACAAAAGCTGAGCTAAAGCGATGAGTCCAACAGAATATCTCAGCAACCCAGAAGTTTCAAACCCGTTTTTCATATTCAATCCTTTAAATCGAGATGACATTATTAGAATTGCATCTGAATTCTGACATTCAGATTCCGGGTTGGTGATGCACAAGAAGTGCTGTGGCCCCCAAACATCCATCGCCCCAGATCATCACAGCGCCCAAGCGTTTGGGGTCCTACCTGGTCATCGGTGATTGGGGATGGGATGCCAAAGCGCATGGCAGCTGGGCGAGATGGGCGGTGACGCCGCCTCCTCCTCATCATCATCAACCAGTGATAACCATTATATAATAACCATTAATAGCCACTAATAGCCATTAATAATCATTAATAGCCATTATATAATAACCATTGATAACCATCATCATCATCATCATCATCATCGACACGGAGAACTCTTGTATCATCACTTCTTGTCAATGTGCTTTTGTAGTCGATGCGTGGGAAAGGGCAAGTTCCAAATTCTGAAGCGCATGGACCTGAATTATCCCAGATTGTAGGGGCAAGCGACTCATGATCTTAACCCCCGGATAGTCGTCTTGGAATGCCGGATACATCAAAAACACGTGCGTTTCCTCACAACTTGTTGTGTGTATAGTCATATCAGGATACATTAAAAAGGATACATTATGCCATTAAACAACTTGTATGCCATTAAATGCCGGATACATTAAAAAGGCCATAAGGCCATAGTGTGGCTAATCATATCAGGGCTGCTCCGACTTGTTGTAGGTATATAAAGGACTCTCAGAAAGCGGACTGGGGTGACCCTTGATTGGTATACTGTCCCACCGACATGTATTACTCTATATGGCCCAATACCAATATGCAGAGAACCTGGTCAATGATCCGAATACGTATAATATATATATATATTGATATTGTGTAGTACTGTATTTGCAATATAATTGCATACATAATTATAATGCTCCAGATAGTGCCCGGCCGATGCCGGGGCGGAAGTTTCGCAAAAATGAAATGGCTACTATAGAGGAGATCAATGGCCTATAGGAAAGTTTTTTCGATGCAGAAGCAATGAATCAGTTGTGAGGTGTATCCAACAAATGAGCAAATGGTGGTTGAGATGCCAATAAAATGGCATGAAAGGATCCATGCAAATGTACAACTGACCTCATGAAACAATCAGTTAATGAATCAATGAATGAGCGCACTAGTGAGCCGATTAATCAATGAACCAATGAATCAGAGATTCAGTGAATCAATGCATGAAACAACAATTCGGTGAATCAATGCATCAATCAGTGCATGGCTGATTCAGTGAATCAATGAATGGATGATTAAGTGAATCAAAGAATGACCGAATTAGTGAGTCGATGACTCAATGAATCAGTGAATCAGTGACTCGATGATTCAGTGAACAGTTGATTCAGTGAGTCAACTAATCAATGAACGAGTGAACTAGTCAGCCGATGAATCAATGAACCAATGATTCAGTGAATGAACCAATCAATGAATTAGTGAATGAATGAATCGATGAATCAGTGAATCAGTGAACTAATGAATCAATGAATGAACGCATTGCTGGACGGATAGATGAGCGGGTTACTTCTTTGTTGAGCTACTTCTTCACTAAGCGACCTCTTCGCTGAAGTACCTCTTCTCTCAGCTACTTCTCCTCTGAGCAGCCTCTTTCTGGGCTACTTCTTTCTGAACTGCCTCCCAGCTAGCTTGTCTGTAGCGTCTGCAACCCAATTCTTCTCTTCCCGCAGCTTTTACAATGCGTTTAGAAGCCTCCAGCTGCAATCCCGCTTTCCAGGAGCGTCGCAGCATCGCTGACTGCTTTGCTGCGCGCAGCTGTGCTAATGCGTTTGTAGCACCCAGTTGCAAACCCGCATAGCAGGAGCGTCGCACTAAATCGACCAACACTCGCGCAGCGTCAGCAGTGCGGACTTTTTCGCGCTGCTCCGAGCGTGCCAGTTTTTTTTTTGTGTGGAGTCGAGCTCTCGCTACAGTCTTGTGCGCATTTTGCCCATCTCGTCTTCCAAAAGTGTTCTGATCCGCCACTTTTTTGCGATTTTGAAGTGCAAATTGAGCTCTTGCTGCACGCAGTCCTGTGCAGTTTTTGTCGACAGCTTTGCCAGATCAAGGCACGAAAACGCAGAAACCGAGACCCTACTTCTACGACCCCAGGAGCCACAATGCCTGGAAAAACACAGGGTTTCGCGCCCGAGAGTGTTTTCATCGATTTTCGCACGTGAATTCATGCGCTTCCGATCTACGCGTCCGAACTGTTACACTTCCCAGCTACTTGATGATGGGTGGTTGACATGGTGATGTGGTTGACATGATGGTGCGAATGCTAACCATGACCATCGTCCGTAACTCGGAAGCTTTCTAACTAAATGTTTATTTGATAAGACAATTTTAGTGTATGCCGGAATCTTGCGTTCACCCAGTTTTGGTCTGTTGATTTATGTACTTTTGATCAGGAAGAATCGCCTGGATACGGAGATGTGTCCGATGAATTGGTCGACCTGCCCTAGACTCCAAATTTTATGGGTCTGGGATGTCTCGAGGCAATTTGAACACCCGACGTTGTCAGCAACTGGTGGCCAATGCCATGCACAAACAGTTTGAAACCCTGGGAGTTTCTTGGTGAACATCTGCGAGATGATGTTTGGCATCTGTTTAACCCCTGAGCAAACCGGAATTTGATCGAAACACCATTTATCTTTCACCCTTTGGGTATCAAAACTCCGCAAGGACCCAAGAAGGCACGGATTTCATCGAAATGTAGAACTCAAAACTTGGTTTTGTAGAGACCCCCTACTTGAGAAACAAACCCCAGGCTACAGTTCCAAACGCCTTTTGAGACTGTCTGTGGGGGTGGTTTTTGGGGCCTAAACAACTTCTCAGAAGGTATTTGGAGCACACGAGATTGCACAATTAGTCTTGTGGAAGGCTTTCAGACCTCATCAGACCTCACCATCTGCACACGGATTGCAATCCCCACATCCAAGGGTTTTAGGCTGGCTTCATATATTTAACACAGGGCCAAATATCACATCCTTTAACTGCGATAAATTTGTTGTTTCTATCATGGTTTGGGGGTCTGCCTTGGGAGCCTCGCGTGCTTCTGTCTAAGCCGGTATCATTGATATACTGTAAAGTAATGTAAAGTAGAAATCAAACAACGTATCGAGATTCCTCCCCATCCCCAGGTTATCGTCCGGACCCTCCAGACCCTCCAAGGATGTGAATTTCGTGATCAATGTGGCCGACTCCTTCTACCCGGATGGTGTCAGCAGCAAGGATGATCCGCAGTGGGAGGTGAAGTGGAGACAAGTCTATTCTCCCCAGGTGCGCGCCTGGGTCAGTTGGTTCTTGTCTTATGGGGTACATTTCGGGTGTCCATGAAAATCCATTGCTTATAAATGGGCAATCATGGTATATCCATCACTTGGGCCCCAGGGGCCCCATGTTCAGAACTTCAGAACCTTTCTTTGACGGGTAGACCGAGCGGTCAGGTGCGCGGAGTCCCGTGGTATAGCATCTATGGCAACCATGACTACCACGCAGATCCCTGTGCGGCTGCCCAACTCCACTGTTGGATCAAAGCTACTTTAGGGGGGTGCTCCCTTCAAAGACAGGGTGAGTGCCCACAATAAGCGAAATATATATTAAATATATGTTTTTTGGGATACACACCATCCAAACACACCCATCTGCCATCATTTGCCATTGTTCAGGGTTTAAATCCGACAGAATCCGACTTTTAATCGTCAAATATCGTTGAATCATGGTAAATTATGAAATCCTAATCTTCTACATGAAAAATGGTTCCTCTTTTCCAAGTAAAGCTTACTGTATATTATGCAATTTCCATAAATTGGATTTAGCACTTGATGGCCTATCTCCGATTCTTGCTATTTAATTTCTTGCTTGCTGAGAGGACAAGGCCCAAGAAACCAAGTGTGGATCACTTGCGTGCAAAATGCACTGCGATCACTGCGATCACATATACATACTTACATACTGTAATTATATATATATATATATGCATGATATTTGATGGCACTGGCTCTACTTGCTTGGTGTACAATCATGAGGATGTGCATAAACTACCTATCTGTACATTTTTATTCGCACTACATATCTGTATACCTACTAGCAAAGATTCATCGGCTCACGGCCTTCGTGTTGTTAAGCACCGCGCCAGGTGCTTGCACCGAGAATGTGACAAGCTGCGCACAGGTGAACGGAGACATCAGTGACTTGGGGTAGCTTGGTACATCATTGACCTTGGGAATCAACCGAAACCAATTCAACTATCATTAAGAGGTATCTGTCTAACCAATCTAGACAAAGATTGGGGGATATGCGAGCAAAGATTGGGGCTTAAATACGGTTGAATGTTTGTTACACTTGTCGATTTGTGCCTGTCATCCTTTCGCAGGCAAATCTTCTCTGTGTCGTTCCAACTGGTTTTCAGCCCTGACAGCAAAGATCGGTCATTGGAAAAACCGACTGGGGGGTTAAAATGGGCTTGAGTTTGGAAAAATCCAACATTTAGCTAGAAAGCATTGGATTTGGGGACTGTGATTTGTTGTGGCCCAATATACATCACCTTCCTTGTAGAACTGGGCTGGATGTCTTAACATTACGAACGCTGGAGGTTCCATGCACTTTCTGGGGCGACCAAAGTGTATCAGGCGGCTTGAAATGGAGATTGATGAAACGTTTCGAGTGGCATTTTTGGGTGTATACCCTATTCTCAGGCACATCCAGATATCAGTTAGTTTACAACCTCCATAAACTATATAGATACTAATAATGTACCATAAGCCCATTGTGAAATTGGAGTGATGTGTTACCATCTTAGCTAGCCAAGTATGTGGCACCATCTTAGATGTACAGTACCTAGTTATATACACATATATATATATATATACACATATATATATATATACATATATATATACATATATATATATACATATATATATATACATATATATATATATTGTATATATTGTATATATACATATATATATATTGTATATATTGTATATACATATATATATATATATATATTATATACATATCATTATATAAATACATTCACTATATTTTATAGAATACTATAGTGATATATCTATCATAAACGCCTAGTTATCTCAAGTTATCGCGACATTTAGGTATTTCTACATGCCCGACTCCTCCTGGTATCGTGCGCACCCCGAGATGGATCTGGAGGCCGGGACCGTCGGAGCTTTCACCAGCCTGAAAGCTGCCATGAAGCATTGAAGATCAATGAATACCCTCTGGTTATGTCAAAATAGCTATTGAAAATGGCCATTGATAGTGGATTTACCCATGAAAAATGGTGATTTTCCATAGTTATGTTAGTTTACCAGAGGGTAATTCTTATTGATTAAACATATGGCTATGGATCAATACCTATACATACCATTTTTAGGGGAATGACCATCCATTTACCAGCTATTTTGATGTGAACTACAGGGGTACAAGGGTTTTGACACACTGCCATATAGCAATTATAATGGTTAAAATACTGTATGTTAAAATATGTTAACATTATATTTTCTATAGATTGGATATAATTTGGATCTTAATGGATTATATAATCTGCCCGGAAAAAAAGAACACCCCAATGGTATGGTTCCAAATATGTGCAATTTCCCCTGTTAAACATGTTTTCTGTGGATGTTTCATATCAACAGGGGGGAAGGGCCTGGGAAAGGGTTATGGGATTATGTGGCCATTGAATCTGCTTAGTGAAGCGGACGTGATGAATCACCGCCATCTCTGGGTCTTGGGGGGTACATCATAGGTGCAGGTGTTTGAACCACACTGAGATGTTCCCTGGACTATGGGTGTTGACGTGACCACTCATCAGCATCATTCAGGATCCATAAAAGTGGCGTTTGTCATACCACAAATTGAATGATCTTGGCATTGGCTGCCGAAAATAAGTCACAAAAAGACATCAGCAAGAGATCCAGAAAGCTGGTATGATTTGGCCAACTTTGCGGGTTTCAACTCCGGCTCCTTCCCCCAGAAAAAGCCATCTTCACCCCCTAAAAAATCATCCAAGTTGGACCCTTTTTCTCAGATCATCTCCCAATAAGACCCAGGTCATCGCCCTGGACTTGAACTACTACACTTGGGTCAATGCCACCTGCCCTCATACCAGCTGTCCGGAGACCTGCCGCTGCTTGGTGGATCTATGGATCTATGGATCTTGATGGTAGAATCATGTAGAATCCATATGGAATCCATGGGGGAAATCCCCGAAGCCATGGTGGTTTGGCTGGGAAAATATGGGAAAATCATCGAAGTCAATGGGGAACTGTCCATTGCCAGCCACGTTTGATCAGGGTCATTGAAGCCAATTTGGGACTAACCGTGACTAACCCATAGATCCCCATGTTTGCTGCTTCCTGAATTCCCCCGTCATTGATAGTTTTTTTTAAGATTCCACTATATGTGATGCTCCGTGATGCTCCCTACATCCCAATACCATGTCTGCCCAGATTCCATTTTGAAGCAACGTGCTGACCATGCTCTGCAACTCTTTGCGGAGCGCATCAGGAAGTCGACGGCATCCAAATGGCTGGCGCCTTGGATTCAAGGCCCCCGTGTGAAGGTGACCCCAAGTGGTTGGTGGTGGCCCCTAGGGCTCAAGAGGTCTGGGATTGGTTGAACCCCCCAGGAAATCCAAGGAATCTCCATGGTTCTGGATCCCTCAGACCTCCAACATGCTGGTGACTTGGTACCTATCGATGGTTCATGGGGAGGATCCGCTGGAACCAGTATACTTCAAGGATTTCTGGGAGATTTTTGGTGCTTCGTCTGCAAGGTGCACTGTTGGCACTCTTCCACAGATCAACCGTTTTCCAAGTCGTGGGCTGTTTTCACCTGGAACTCAGGTGTTCTCCCACTATCCCTCGGATTATTTCCCTGGAGGATGGAATGAATCCATACCCTTGGAGCTCCTTGGCTTCAAAGACGTCCGGCCCCGAGGGCCCACAGACTTTGGTGGTGCCTGGGTAAGGTTATTTCTCGATTTTATGAGCCGAAAACAGCAATTTTGAAGGAAGCAAATCATGTTCTTCACGGTAACAACAACTTTCTATGGTTTTTCTATTGAACAGAATTTCTGGTATGTTTTCTTTTGTGGTTAAAACACATGGGTTTGCGGTTGCAGATTGAAGCTGCCGGAGAAGACCTAAGGTGGTGGTCACCCTCATGGCTGAACCTGGCGGCCGAAGAAAGGCCCCAGACCCTGATGAATTTCCTGCCGGAACTCAGCAACGTCTCCCGTGACTTGATGGCACTGGTCCAAAAAACCTGGTTTCACACCATGATTTCAAGATGATTTTCCCAGCTACAGATAGCAAACCTATGATATAAACCTCCATTTATATCTAGGGCAGGGGATTTCCCGTTTCCATGACCGGAGGCGACATGTTGCTAAACCTTAGACATGACTTTGAGGGATCCACTTGATGATTTTGGGGATCCATTGACTTGACTGAAACCAGCTGGGTCTTTTTATTGTTTTCCCAACTGGAATGATTTCACTGAACATCTTAACCCACAATATATATACGTATATATATATATATATATACGATTATATACGTATATACATATATGTATATAATATATATACATAATATATATATATATATATACATGTATAATATATATATATACATGTATAATATATATATATATTATAATTATAATATATATTATATATGAAAATATGTTTGGGATGGGCCGAAACCACCCAAACTCCGCATTGTTGGAACGACTCGGAAGGGGTTCCCCATCCCCTCCAGCTGTGGAGCTTCGCCGTCGTGAGGTTCCTCCATTGTCTACTTCGGAGGCCACCGTCACAATGTGGACCAACGTACGGTGGCGAGCATCAGCCCCCACACCAGCTGGCTCTCTGGTGGCGGAGGAGGTGGGAAATCTATGGATGGCTTGTCGGCTTGTCTCGCACAAGAAAAATGTGGAAGTCCCTGAACAGCTGAACATGGGTCGTTTCTTTGTTTTTTTTGGCTATAGGACATACATTTCTGAGAATGACCTCGAATTCTTGAATTCTTGGGGATGTTGCGACACTGGCGTGGAGTGGAAAGTCCATGCCACAAGTCGAACAGATAGCATCAGAATAAGATGGCCATTTCACTTGATCCTTTAGATGTGTACATGGATCAGGTCTTCATCAACTGTTTGAGGAACCCTCTTTATCCACTTTTCAACCTCTTTGTATGGGCCTTTTTCGACACATCCACAAGTCATCAACATCCTTTAAATCCTTTGTCTTTCAAGCCCCTTCGGTGTTTCAGGGGTACCCCCTTCCCCATGTCACGCAGGTTGGAGCACGGACGGGGAGCAACAGGGCTTTGTGGTGGGCGAAATCATGGAGGATGGCGAGGCGGTTGCTGAACGTGGCTGAGACATTCTGATTTACCAAAACGGTCCAAGTTGGCGTTTTCGAGGTTTTTCATTTTGATAAAAATTTGAAGGGTTTTAGAATCCGAAGGTTAGCCATGATCAATCATGATCACCTGGGATGCTGGTTGCCCAATTTCAGTTTGATCTTCGGTGTTCTCTTCCCTAAGAACATGCATTGGCTGATTCACTTTGGGGATGCAATTAGTCATTTGGTTGGTGTTTACCAAAACGTGTTTGTTTTCATACATTTTCAACTTTCAAAGCTGTTCAAAGAGGATGATCCACTTTCATTCATTTTGTTTGTCTATCATTACAGATATATGGGAGCCGTCCGTAAAAGCAGG